AAAAAAAAAAAAAAAAAAAAAAAAAAAAAAAAAAAAAAAAACAAAAAAAGTTACCTTAGGAGGAAGGTGAGGAATCAAAGCATGAAGATTAGAGAACATATTCCTCATCCTCTTCCTCCTCTCCCTCTCCGTCCAAATATGAATTTCATGTTCGGTCGACTCTCCACCTCCACCCGGTCTCCCCTCCACCGCCTCCCTCTTCCTTCCCGACAAAGGCAGGGGAGGTAAGAGGTCGGTGTTGGCAGGGGATTTGTCGTTGCTATTGTCGTTGTCATTATCATCGTCAAGGTCGATGTCGATATCGACATCACTGCCGGAGTTGAGGAAGGCCCAAATATTGTGAGGGGCAGCCATGGAGGGCGGCGGCGGCGGTGGAGGAAAGTGAGGAACAAGGAGGGAAGGGGGAGTTTATATAAGAAAGGTGGTGGAAAATGGAGAGAGTAGTTAGGAGACAGAGCATAACAATGATCAGATGGTGGGCGTTACGGCGCTACAAAACAAAAACGGATGCGTCCTTAATATCCTCGACCTCGGGACCCACCTTCCACTGTCCTGCCTTTGCTTTCTTCCCTTGTCTCTTACTTAGGTAATTTTCAAATTTTACTGACTCAAAACAATGTAATTTTCTTAGTTCATTTGGATTCATTTACATTATTACACATTTAATGAAACAAAATAATGGATTCCCTTTTTATTAATGAACCAAATCTATTATTCTATAAATAAATTCCACTCCACTCAAGATTATATCAATAAAACCTCCCAACTTTGTTAATGTATGAATTTACCTAAACTACATCGCTACATCTATAAAGTTTAAATTAATATAATTATTAATAAAATTCAATCTGTGGGTACACAATAATTATGGTAATGAGAGGAAAAAAACACTCACAACAATAATTTTGTCTCGACTTACCTAATTTCCGGAGTTGCATGTAACCGTCGTTGCGAGAAATATTGAAACTTTTGTTATAATTAAATCATATAAATAAATAGATAATTAAAACTAAGGAGGATAATGATACACTGATTTAGAGATAATTAAACGTATTGAAATGTGATGTAAGGCTCGTAATTAAATAATTAAATATGCTTAATAAATTAATATTAGCTGGTTTGGTTCATAATTGCAAATGATGGTTCATAATTGGAACAAAAAAGTTAGTAATTTAATGATAATTATCCATTGATAAAGTAGAAAGAAGGGGTTGGAAATCCCAAGAAGTAAGTAAAAAGTAGGGACGTTTTACCTAACACAAAAGGGTGGTGAATGGCTCAAATTTTAAATTATAAACAAAAGTGAGGTTTGTTGCTTTGTGGTTGTGAGATTCTTAACATAGGGGAACGTTACTAAGTAACAAACCTCCTTAATCTTTTCAACTTTTTAAAATGTTTTTTTCTTTTTAATTTTTGTTTTTTCTTTTAATATATTATATTTTCTTTTAGCTAATTCGAGCGTAGTTTATCGAGGGTTCATGATGAACGAAAAAATATAATTTCATTAGTTTAGATTGTTGGGTTGAAGTATTTGAAATCCTACTTTGATTGGAGAGGGGAATGAAGTATTTTTATAAGAGTGTGGAAGTCTCTCCCTAAAAGACGCCTTTTAAAATCGTGAGGCTGACGCGATACGTAACAGGCCAAAGTGGATAATATATGGTTGCGATGAGCTTGAACTATTATGGATATCTAAGATATATTAATAATATTAACTAATTACAGATATCTAAGATATATTCTAAAACTAATTATAGTTATTCGACAAAATATACTTCACAAATATCTTTATATTTTAATTCAAATTTCATAATACTCTCCCTCAAGTTGGAGAGTGTATGTCAATCACACCTAACTTGTCTTTCATAAGATTAAATTGCTGCCTTCCTAAAGCTTTAGTGAAAACATCTGCAATTGCATTTTAGTCGAAACATACGGTTTGATGATTCCAACTTGTATCTTTTCCCGTATATGACAATATATTTCAATGTGCTTCGTATGTTCATGAAAAACTAGATTGTTTGTTATATGCAATGTTTCTTGATTATCACAATACAACAATGTTGGTTCGGACAGCGAAACTTTCAAGTATTGAAGAATGTACCTCAACCAAGTTAACTCTAAACAAGTATTTGTCATAGCTCGATACTCCACTTCTGTTGATGATCTGAACACATTGGTTTGCTTTTTAGACTTTCAAGAAATAGTTGAATTTCGTAGGAAGATGCAGAACCTAGAAATAGACGTGGTAGTTCAACAACCACCCCAATCAAGATCGCAATATGCTTGTGATCTTAAATTGTTTTTAGATGGTATTAGAAGTCCTTGATTAGGAGTACATTTGATGTATCTCAGAACTCGAATTGCTGTCTCCCAATATGGTTTTCTTGGTTCATGCATAAATTGACTAAAAGCATAGGAACTGAATATACTGTGTCAAGCCTCGTAACAGTTAAATATATTAATCTGCCAATCAACGGTCTTTATTTGCTTGGATACTTCTCTCCTTCTGTTAAATAAAGTTTTAGATTTTTCTCAATAGGAAATTTTTATAGATGTGCATCTGTAAGACCTGTGTCTTAAACAATGTCTAGAGCATGTTAAAATGTTAAACCCAACAATTGTGTGAGTGATTGTATATTTATGTTAAGGAACATGATTTAGGGATTTTTAGGAATAAATTTAGGAAAATGATTTAGGGCTTTTGGACTAAATTTTGGAAAATGATTCACGAGTAAAAGAATGTTGAGAAATTTGATGAATAAATTGTGTGGTCTCTATTATAAATACCCCTCCATCTTACCAAGGTTATCATATGAACAAATACAAAGCACAAAGTGTAGTAGTATGTTATAGAGTGTCTTTTAATCTCTTCTCGATTGGTCTTAATAAAGAGTGCGAGTGTTTCCTATGGAGAGTTGTGTTCAACAATCTGGTATGAGAGCAAGGTTAGTGTAGGTTGTCTCATCTCTTGAAATTTTTAGTATGCTCTGTGACTACAGCGCTGCCTGATCTTCCACATCAGAAATGATTTCTTGAAATTATTAGCGAGTGAGTTTATTTGTGTTGTGAGTAGTCCGTGACACTGCAAGTTTTGTGTCGAAAGGGCTTGTTTGGTATTACTAAGGTATTGTCAACACGATGGGTGACTTCCAAATCGTAGGAGGAATCAAGAAACTCAACAATAACTACAACATGTGGGCAACATGCATGATGTTCTATTTACAAGGACAAGACCTTTGGGAGGTCATTGGCAGGTGTGAAACTACGTCGCCAGAGGAGGATTCTAACAGCGACAAATGGAGAATTAAAGCAGGCAAAACAATGTTTTCATTGAAGACCACAATTAGAGAAGAGATGTTAGAGCATATTTGGGATGACAAGACACTGAAAAAAGCATGAGACACGTTCATGATGCTGTTTTCAAAGAAGAACGATATGAGGCTGCAACTCTGGAGAACGAGCCGCAAAAAATTTTACAATGTGACACGACGATTGCTCAGTACTTCCACAAAGTCAATTCGATCTGCCGAGGGATTACTGAACTAGACCCGAAGTGTGCAATTGGAGAAGATCGATTGAAGAGGATCATTATCCACGAATTGCGACTAGAATATAGAAGCTTCATTATTGACGTACAAGGATGGCCCACTCAACCATCACTTGTACAATTTGAAAATTTGTTAGCAAGTCAAGAAGCCATGACTAAACAAATGGGAGGAATCACATTACAAGATGAAGAAGAAGCACTCTACACAAGTGAAAGTCGGAGCAACAATAAGTCGTCTACCAAACGTGGATACAAAAATGGTAACAAAAGAAAAAGCCATCAAGGAAATGCACAACCAGGAAGAGCTCAGAAGAATGACAACAATAAATCTCTAGTGAAGAGATTTGGAGGTATTTGCTACAATTGCGGAAAGAAGGGCCACATGTCCAGGGATTGTTGGTCCAAGAAAATTCTGTTGAAAGCAACGTGGCATCCTCTAACATGGAGATGGAGGAGGAGTGGAATGCAGAAGCACTATGTGCCATAGAAGAAGACGAGCTACCGCTCATGGTGATGATGGGAGAACTTATCGATTACGAGGATGACTGGATCATTGATTCAAGATGCTCAAACCACATGACTGACGATCAGAGTGACGCAATAGAAGAAGGGTGGACCTTGGTGAAAGAAGTATTATCAAACTTGGACAACATTGAAGAAATTCTTCCACAAAAAAATGGGGAGCAAACTGTACACATTTGTTTAAGTGTTGATGTGCCCGAAGATCCAAGTGACACTGGTGTTGGTAAGCATGAAGTGACTCAACCAAGTAATCGTAGTAAAAAACAAAGGACACCTCAACAACTCAGATGATCAGAAAGAATCCAAAAGCTAAATTCAAAGAATGTCAATACAGTTATTATAAAAGACGAAGTTAAAGGGCTAGAGACGTATGAAGAAACATCACAAAATAATGCTTGGCAACAGGCAATGGAGGAAGAAATTATAGCCTTGTAGCAAAATCAGACTTTGGAACTAGTGCTAATTTTAGGAGATGTTAAATCTATCTTTTGCAAGTGGATTTACAAAATAAAGTGTATCCCGAACGGATCAATCGTGAGATACAAAACTCAAACTGTAGATCTAGGGTTCTCTCAACAATATAGACTAAACTATGACGAAACGTTTAGTCCAGTGGCGAAGATCACTATTGTACAAGTTCCTCCAATACTTATGGTAAATAAAGATTGGAAATTATGACAGATGGATACGAAGAATGATTTCCTGAATAGAGAGTTAAATAGAGAGTTCTACATGGACTAACTGAAGAAATTCAAAAATAAAGTTGGAGTCATTAGTCAGTATATGCGAAGTCTGAAGAAGCCCCATTTGAATGCGGCTCGATGGGACTTGAGATATGTCAAAGGTACAATCAATTATGATCGTTTGTACAAAAGACGCGAAGACCACAAGCTAGTCAAATACCTTGATGCTGACTATGCATGATATCAAGATACCTGAAGATCAAGCACTGGGTATGTGTTCAAACTTGGTTTGAGAATACTTGGTGTAGCAAAAGACAATCAACAGTATCATTGTTAATTAGAGAAGCAGAGTACAAAGCAGCAGCTGGAATAGCTCAGGAAAGTACACGTCTAAAACTCTTAATGGAAGACTGACACCATAAAATTGACTATCCAATACCACTTCATTGTGACAAATCTGTGACTCGCCTAGCAGAAAATTTGGTGTTTCATGCTAAAACAAAGCATGTGGAGGTGCACTACCATTTCATTAGAGAGAAAGTTCTAAAGAAAGAAATCGAGATGCAACAGATCAAGACAAATGACCAAGTGACAAACTTATTTACAAAAGGGCTGAATATTGGCAAACATGAGAGCTTTCACTAT